CCTGCTTTCCCCCTGGCTGAGACCCCGTCCTCTCCCTGCAGGAAGAACTCGGACGAGGCCGACCTGGGTTAGGGTTAGGGGTCAGGGTTTAGGGTTAGGGGTTAGGGTCAGGGTTTAGGGTCAGGGTTAGGGGTTAGGGTCAGGGTTTAGGGTCAGGGTTAGGGATCTGTGGGACATCCAGAGCCCCTCAGGAACTCTGTTCTCCTGCTTTCCCCCTCGCTGAGACCCCGTCCTCTCCCTGCAGGAAGAACTTCTGGGTTAGGGGTTAGGGTTAGGGTTAGGGGTCAGGGTTTAGGGTCAGATTTTGGGTTAGGGGTCAGGGTTTAGGGTCAGATTTTGGGTTAGGGGTCAGGGTTTAGGGTCAGATTTTGGGTTAGGGGTCAGGGTTTAGGGTCAGATTTTGGGTTAGGGGTCAGGGTTTAGGGTCAGATTTTGGGTTAGGGGTCAGGGTTTAGGGTCAGGGTCAGGGTTAGGGTCAGGGTTAGGGATCTGTGGGACATCCAGAGCTCCTCAGGAACTCCGTTCCCCTACTTTCCCCCTGGCTGAGTCCCCATCCTCTCCCCGCAGGAAGAACTCGGACGAGGCCGACCTGGGTTAGGGTCAGGGTTTAGGGTCAGGGTCAGGGTTAGGGTTAGGGGTTAGGGTCAGGGTTTAGGGTCAGATTTAGGGTTAGGGGTCAGGGTTAGGAGGGGTTAGGGTCAGGGTTTAGGGTCAGGGTTAGGGATCTGTGGGACATCCAGAGCTCCTCAGGAACTCTGTTCCCCTGCTTTCCCCCTGGCTGAGTCCCTGTCCTCTCCCCGCAGGAAGAACTCGGACGAGGCCGACCTGGTGCCCGCCAAGGAAGCCAACATCAAGTGCCCGCAGGTGGTGATCTCGTTCTACGAGGAGAGGTTGACATGGCACTCCTACCCCTCAGAGGACGATGACAAGAAAGAGGACAAGAACTAAGCCCTGGTGGCCCCCGCTCCGGGCAGCTTTGGGGGTTTTTTTTGGGAAGACGATCCGAACTTTTATGGGGTGTGAGCAAAGGAGGGGTTTGGAGGTGCCCGTGGAAGAGCCCCCCCAGCCCAGTTTCTGTGCCCTGCAGCCACTCCTCTGCTCCCTGCCGTGTCCAGATTCCGAGCAGGATCCCATGGAATTCCAGATTCCACCGGGGAGGGGGGGAGGGAGAATCAAGGGGGATTTGGAAAGCTTGGGACGGGGTGGGAATTCGGGGTGGGGAGGGGTCTCAAAGCAGTGGGAGCGGAAGCAAAGCCCCTTCCATGAAGGACTCGCCGGGATGGCCGGGCTGGGGATTGGGATTGGGATTGGGAATGCAGATGGATCCTGCTTCCCTCCAAAGCCCATCCCACAGCCCCCAGCCTGGTTCCCAATAGTGTTAACTCTGCATTTTTAAGGCGTAGCATGTGTGTAGGTCTTTTGATTCGGATTTCTATTTTCCTTCTATTTTCCTTTTTTTTTTTTTCTTCTTAATTTTCTTTTTTTTCTTGGCTATTTCCTGGTGTTATCCTTTGGGAAGGAAGGGAGGGATTTTGGGGGGAATTCAATCACTTTTAATCAAAGAAGGAAATAATGTCTGGTGATGACATTCCCAGATTCTTTCCATATTTTTGGGGTTGCTTTTTTTTAAAAAAAAAGAACCTGAATTCCGTTTTTTTTCTAAAAAAAAGCTGAATTCAGCAAAGAAAATTAATGGATAAAAAAAATTAAGGGAGAAAGGGAGAAGTTCCCAGAATTGCTGCCAGAACTGGGACAGAGACACTGAAACTGTGAATGTCCAAAATCTCCAGAGCTAATCCTCGAGCGATTTTTAGGGGCAGTTTTTGGGGAAAAGGGGGAGGGAATTTTTGGGGTGGGAGGGGACGAAGGGGAGACTTTGTGAAAATGCAACTTTGTGATTCTGTATCGTCCTGCAGCAGAACTGCCACTCCTGACACGTGCATTGTATGGGGGGGGGGGGAATTTTAACCCTTTTATTGCCTTTTTAACCCTTTTTTTTTTCCGTTCTAAGGTGCTATTTCTCCAGATTGGGGGGGGGGGGAGGGAAATCCCCAAAAAAAAGAGATTTCCTGAATTTCTGACCACTCATTCTTTTTCCCACTCTGGATTTTCCTGCCCAGCCAGCAGGGAGGGAATGTGGGAAGGAGAGGAACCAAGAGCAGCACAAGGAAAAATCCAGTCAATCCCAGTTCCCCCCACAGCGAGGCTGGGAGCTGCTTTCCCAGCACCTCGTGGGGGTGGGTTTTGATTTTTGAATTCAGATTTATTTCCCGAATCCTGAACTATTTAAGTGACTCCAGGGGTGGGATCTGGACGTGCATTGTACAAACCTTTTTTATGAGCATGTGTTTGGGTTCCTGTGCAAAAATCCGTGTGCAAATGTAAAAGTTCGTGTTTGGATTTTAACTTCATACCGAGCTCTGTCCACTTTTTATTTTGGTTTTTTTGTTTTGTTTTGATTTTTTTTTTTTTGTCTCAATAAAATTTTAGATTTATAATCCTGATTTTTAATTTTTAAAAAACAATTTTTTTTTTACTCTTTTTTTAATCTTTTCTTTACCTTGCTCCCTTTCCTCCAGTGATGAGTGACCAGGTAGAGCAGGACACGGAGGGAAGGTGAGCCCTGAGCCAGGTTAGAGCTCTGGAGAAGGTGGCAGCAGGTTCTGGAGCAGGTTCTGGGTTTATTTTGGCCTCCAGCTGCAGAAGAGAGGCTCAGCCAGAGCCCTGAGCCTGCACTGGGAGCGTGGAGGGAGCTCCCAGCACCTGAGGTGGGTAAGTGACCTCTGGTTCCCTTCTCGTGCAGTGCTGGGGGGCTCGGAAGGGGCTCTGAGGGGAGAGGTGTGGGGAGGGGGCATGGAGCTGGCTCCTGTGCCTGCAGGGGAGGGGAGCCTGGAGGAGGAGGAGGAGGATGGTGGTTCCTGGAGGAGGAAGGTTATTGGAGGAGGAGGATGATGATGGTTCCTGGAGGAGGATGATGGTTCCTGGAGGAGGAGGATGGTGGTTCCTGGAGGAGGAGGAAGGTTCTTGGAGGAGGATGATGGTTCCTGGAGGAGGAAGAAGGCTCTTGGAGGAGGATGGTGGTTCCTGGAGGAGGAGGAGGAGGAAGGCTCTTAGAAGAGGAGGATGATGGTTCCTGGAGGAGGAAGATGGTGGTTCCTGCAGGATGAGGAGGGGAATGGTTCTTGGATGAGGCTAATGGCTCCTGGAGGAGGAGGGGTCTCGGAGGATGATGATGGCTCTTGGATGAGGAAGATGATGGCCCTTGGATGAGGATGGTGGTTCCTGGAGGAAGACGAATGTTCTTGGAGAAGGATGGTTCTGGAGGAGGATGGAGTTCTTGGAGGAAGATGATGGATCCTGGAGGAGGAAGATGGCTCCTGCAGGAGGTTGAGGGCTCTCAGAGAAAGATGATGATTCCTGGAGGAAGATGATGGTTTTTGGAGGAAGATGGTGGCTCCGGGAGGAGGATGGTGGCTCCGGGAGGAAGAGGAAGGACGCTGGAGGATGGCTCCCGGGAGGAAGAGGACAGAAACTGGAGGGTGGCTCCAGGAGGAAGAGGATGGTTTTTGGAGGAAGATGGTGGCTCCTGGAGGAGGAGGACGGAAGCTGGAGGGTGGCTCCAGGAGGAAGAGGATGGTTTTTGGAGGAAGATGGTGGCTCCTGGAGGAAGAGGAAGGAAGCTGGAGGGTGGCTCCAGGAGGAAGAGGATGGAAGCTGGAGGATGGCTCAGGAGGAAGAGGATGGAAGCTGGAGGATGGCTCCTGGAGGAAGAGGACGGAAGCTGGAGGGTGGCTCAGGAGGAAGATGATGGTTTTTGGAGGAAGATGGTGGCTCCAGGAGGAAGAGGACGGAAGCTGGAGGGTGGCTCCAGGAGGAAGAGGACGGAAGAGGAGGGTGGCTCAGGAGGAAGATGATGGTTTTTGGAGGAAGATGGTGGCTCCTGGAGGAGGAGGATGGAAGCTGGAGGGTGGCTCAGGAGGAAGAGGATGGTTTTTGGAGGAAGATCCAAAGCTGGAGGGTGGCTCCTGGAGGAAGAGGATGGTTTTTGGAGGAAGATCCAAAGCTGGAGGGTGGCTCCAGGAGGAAGAGGATGGTTTTTGGAGGAAGATCCAAAGCTGGAGGGTGGCTCAGGAGGAAGATGATGGTTTTTGGAGGAAGATGGTGGCTCCTGGAGGAAGAGGACGGAAGCTGGAGGTGGCTCCTGGAGGAGCAGTGCGTCCCTTCCCCACGAGCTCTGCGCCATCGCAGGGAATCCTCGTGGCCTTTGCAGCAGCTGGGACCCCCCGACCCTCAGGAATGTCTGGAATGATCACCCAGGAGAGCGGGGAGCAGCCCGGAGCCACGCAGGAGCTGATGTGGATTTTTTTCACTCCTTCTTCTCCTTTTCCTATTTCTTCTCCTTCTTCTCCACCCCCTGCAGGGCTGGAACAGCTCCCTCCCATCCAGGCTGAATCTGGAGCTGCTGTGATGGCAGAAAATCCCCAAATTCCCACCACGTCACCCCCAAACCCCCTCAAATCCCAAATGAAACCCCTGGAGCCGAGGCTGGTACAGTGAATAAGCCATTTTTATTTTTTTGTCCTGTGCTCACAACAATCTCTCTTCTCTCCCTGACAGGTCACAGATCATTCAAATCAAAAAAAGTTTCTAAGAGGAAACAAAAAAAAGAATAATTTAAAACACACGCACAGGGCTCTCTCTCCATTGCAACCTCCCCACATCCCAACTTGTGCTTCATTCCCAGGAAGCCGGAGGGGGCTCGAGCTCCCGTCCGGCCAATCCCAGCTCCAAGCATTCCCAAAAAAAACCTGGAAAACATTCCCACAAACCCACACACATCTTGCCAGCGGGCCTTCCCTGCTGCTTTCCCGGGTGGAAGGACCACCCTGGAATCCTCCTCGGATCCCGCGCACAGGACTGGCTCCGAAAAGCCGTCATTTTCATTTTATTTATTTGCTTTTTTTAAGCTTTTTTTTTTCCTTTTTTTTTTTTTTTTTTTAAATTTATAGGTTTTTTTTTCTGGTTGCTGGTAAAGTCAGAACACTCCCAGCTGTGCTATATGGAAATACAGCTCTAGGATGGTCTCCGAGGTGTGGAGACCTGACAGTGATCAAGGCACTACCCCCACCCCCCTCCTGAAAAACAAAGGAAGTCAGACCGACACCTCTAGGGACAGAAGAGAATCCTATAATGTGATCACACGGTTACACGGAATCTTTATGGCAAAGAGAACACTGAGCAGCTTTGAACGTTTGGGCTTCTCCCTTTTTTTTTTTTTTTTGGCTTTTTTTTCTTTTTTTTTTTGTAATTTTTTTAGGTTTTTTTGTTTGTTTGTTTTTTACTCAACACAAGCACTTCTAGACCCTAAAAGGGGGAGGAAAAAAAATCAAGGCTGGAACCCCCAAAAATCCCAAGCGTGGTTACAGGACGGGGACCTACAGCTGTTCAATGCTCGAGGTGACACCCCAAGGCTGGCCTTGAGGTTGGCATCGGGGTCCCAGCGCTCCCCTTGTGCTCTTCCTGACCCAAAATTCCTTCCCAGGAGAAGCTGGCGGGGGCCGAGTGCTCAGGAAAGGCTCCGGCTGCTCCTCCCTCCCTTCCTCACCCCAAAGCTCTGCGTGCATCCCCCTCCTTGGCCTTTCTCCCAGGATGGGTTTCTTGCCCTTTGGCCTGGCTCTGAGCTTCCTCAGGCAGGAAAGGGTTAACGGGAGTCGCCCCCTGGCTCTGCTCTTCCTCGGGCTGGAAAGGGTTAATGGAAGTCACGCCACTTTTTGTGTCTCTCCACGTGTGCCCTGGTCTGATCTCCGATGGAGGAAGGAGAAATCTGGAATATCTCACACACACCGATGGCAAAAACGGGGTCGGGATGAAAGGAAAGAAGGGAAAAAAAACCCAAAAAGAACCAAAAAAAAAATAAAAGGGGAAAAAAAAAAAAAGAAAAACAACCAGCTACCTGAAATCACAGAACTTTGGAAGTTCAGAAAAACGTCTCTCCTATAACTTGGTTTGAAGTCCATTCACTTAAATCTCTTTTTTTTTCTTGTTTTTTTTGTTTTTTTCTCTTACTTAAAGCCAGTTCCTAACAGTAGTTTGTTTTTTTGTGGGGATTTTTTTTTTTGTTTTTTTTTGTTTTTTTTTTTGTTTTATCCACCTCGTGCCAACCTCCCCAGCAGCGATGCCAGCTCGTCCCTGCTCTCCCAGCACCCCGGGGGTGGCCGGTGGCAGCTGGGCTTGGGCTGGGCTCCGTCCCCCGCTTTGGGACGGCCGCTCCCGCAGAGTCCCCGGCGCGCGCCGCCGGCGCCGCGTGCGGTTCCAGAAGACAGAATCGGATAAGAAGGCATCAAAGTTCCCTCCGCAAGCACTTCCAGGCTCGGCCCTCATCCCAGCTCTCCCTTCCGCCGCCGCCTTCACTTCCTCCTGTCCTTCTGCTTGCGCTCCTGGCGCCGCGGCTGCGGCTCGGCGGGCGCGGGCGCGCGCGGGATCAGCAGCACGCTGCCGTCGCTGCCGTACTGCAGCGCGTACCGGCTGGGCGAGTAGGGCCGGCCCTGCTCGTCCCGCAGCCGCCCGAACACCTCCTGGTACAGGCTCTGCACCTTCTGCTTCATCTGCCGGATGGATTTGAGGAACTCCACCTTCTCCCTGAGCAGTTTGGACTTGTCGCGCTGCAGCTCCTCCACGTCGCGCTCCAGGTTGAGGATGGTGTCCAGTTTCCTCTTGCGGCAGTTCTGGGCGGCCATCTTGTTCTTGCCGCGCCGGCGGATGTCGCGGATGAGGCTGAGCTGGGCCTCGCTCAGCTGGTACTTGGACAGGAGCTCGTTGAACTCCTCCACGGGCAGGTTGATGATCTTGTCGTTGGTGAAGGGGATCTTCATGGCCCTGGCGCGGTGCTCGTCGCGGCTCAGCTGCTTGTCCAGCAGCTCGGACGGTTTCTCCTTGCCGCTCTTCTTGCCGGCGCCGGGCGCTTTGGGCTCCTCGGGGTCCAGGGCGCCCGGGGCCATGTTGTAGGTGTGGTTGTGGCCAACGTGCTCCAGGTAAGGCAGGTAGTGGAGCTGCGCCGGGTCCTGGTAGCTCATGCGGCAGAACTTGCTGTACTCTGGCTGGTAGCCGACCGCCCCTTCCGCTTCCTCAAAGTCCACGTTCTCCGAGTCCGAGCTGTAGCCCACGGCGCCTTCCTCGGAAAACGAGGAGGAGGAGGAGGACGAAGAGGAAGACGACGACGAGGACGAGGCTTCGGAGCTGCTCAGGGACGCGGGGCTGTGGCCGGAATCCAGGGAAAGACCTGAGTCGGAATCGAACTCCTCCTCCAGCTGCGAGGCCTGCACGGGGTTGAAGCCCTCCTCGATGGCCAAGTCCATCAGGCTGATCTCATCCAGCATGGCCTCGTCCAGCAGCCCCCCCAGGGGGTCGGGCAGCTCGGGCCCGGCCGTCTCGTTACCCGTGCTGTTCATCTGGGGCGGGAAGAAGATCCCGCTCAGGTTGGTGGAGCCGAAGGTGCTGTTGAGGCCGGTGGAGTTGTCGGGCGCCAGCTGCAGCAGGGCCGAGCCGCCCGCCATGGAGGGGCTCTCCATGTCCGAGCTGAAGAGGGAGAAGTCCTGGGAGCAGCTGCCCAGCGAGGCCTGATGCAGGCTGACGTTCTGGTTGATGGGCGTGCCGGGGGCCAGGCTGTAGTTGGACGCCAGGAGGTCCCCGCCGGTGCCACCGTAGAGGCTCTCGGCGCTCGTGCTCGTGTTCACCTCCATGGCCTGCAAGAGAGGCGGGCACAGCTCGCTGGGGGAGCCCCGGTGCCAAGGACGCTTCCAGATCCCACTCAGCAGCTCGCAGACGGCACGGATGTCACCGCGGCGTCACCGCACGGGCCAGGACCCAAATTCACGCCACCGCACCCGCAGGGACGAGCCCTTGCCGCTCCTCCCGGAGCTCACCTGCATCTCCATGATGGACATCAGGTCCTGCCACTGCTGCTCCAGGTCGAAGGGCGACTCGGTCTCGGCCAGCAGAGGGGACAGCAGGCTGGGGGGGCCGCCCGGGGCCCGGCTCTGCCCGGGCACGGCTTCGCTCAGGGCGGAGACATCCGCAGCTGGGAACTGAGCACGCCGGGAATCAGGGCTGGCACCTCGGCGACGCTCAGGGATGTTCAGGGATGCTCGGGGATCAGCAGGGACGCTCGGGGATGGACACTCGGGGATGGGCACTCAGGGATGGACGCTCGGGGACACTCAGGGATGGACACTCAGGGGGGGACACTCAGGGATGGACGCTCAGGGACACTCGGGGATGGACACTCAGGGATGGACACTCGGGGATGGACACTCGGGGATGGACACTCGGGGATGGACACTCGGGGATGGACACTCGGGGATGGACACTCGGGGATGGACACTCGGGGATGGACACTCGGGGATGGACACTCGGGGATGGACACTCGGGGATGGACACTCGGGGATGGACACTCGGGGATGGACACTCGGGGATGGACACTCGGGGATGGACACTCGGGGATGGACACTCGGGGATGGACACTCGGGGATGGACACTCGGGGATGGACACTCGGGGATGGACACTCGGGGATGGACACTCGGGGATGGACACTCGGGGATGGACACTCGGGGATGGACACTCGGGGATGGACACTCGGGGATGGACACTCGGGGATGGACACTCGGGGATGGACACTCGGGGATGGACACTCGGGGATGGACACTCGGGGATGGACACTCGGGGATGGACACTCGGGGATGGACACTCGGGGATGGACACTCGGGGATGGACACTCGGGGATGGACACTCGGGGATGGACACTCGGGGATGGACACTCGGGGATGGACACTCGGGGATGGACACTCGGGGATGGACACTCGGGGATGGACACTCGGGGATGGACACTCGGGGATGGACACTCGGGGATGGACACTCGGGGATGGACACTCAGGGATGGACACTCAGGGATTCTCAGGAATGGACACTCGGGGATGATCAGGGATGGACACTTGGGGATGCTCAGGGACACTCAGGGATGTTCACGGATGCCAAGGGATGTTCAGAGATTCTCAGGGATGCTCAGGGAAGGATGCTCAGTGACGGATGCTCAGGGATGCAGCCACCCCCCAGCCCAGCGCCCCTCCCGCCCACTTTGCCGTGAACTAACGAGGAGCAAAGCCAGGAGGTTTTAATTAACCTCGGCCCCCCTCCCCGCGTGGTTTCTCAGGGTGCCCGGAGCCTCCTGGAGCAGCCAAACCCAATTTGCCGCTGCAGGAGAAGCACGGGAGGCACGAAAACCCCAGCGAGAGCCTGGGGACCCACCCCACGGGCTCACCTCGGAACTGTCCCCGAAGGGGAAGGTGGCCTCCAGCAGCCTAAGGCACTCCTCCAGGGACAGGGCTGTCTGATCCTCCGCTCCGGGCACCTGGGGGCACAGCAAACGCACGGCATGGGATGGGAACTGCAGGCGTGGGGAGCTGCTGCTCAGGAGGAACCAGCTCCCTTCCGGCAGGGCTGGATCACCGCGCATCCGAAACAGAGCCAGAGCCAGAGCCCCACCCAGCGCTCCTGTGCCGGCTCCGTCCTCCCGCTCGGGGCTACGGGAAAGCGCCAACGCCGCCGCTCCCGGCCAGCCTGCTGCCCCTGCTGTCCCTGCTGTCCCCTGATATCCCTGCTGTCCCCGCTGTCCCTGCTGCCCCTGCTGTCCCCTGATATCCCTGATATCCCTGCTGTCCCCTGATATCCCTGCTGTCCCCGGTGTCCCCTGCTGCCCCTGCTGCCCCTGCTGTCCCTGCTGGCCCTGCTGTCCCCTGCTGTCCCCTGCTGCCCCTGCTGTCCCCGCTGTCCCCGCTGTCCCTGCTGTCCCCGCTGTCCCTGCTGTCCCTGCTGTCCCCGCTGTCCCTGCTGTCCCTGCTATCCCTGCTGCCCCTGCTGTCCCTGCTGCCCCTCCTGCCCCTGCTGTCCCCGCTGTCCCCTGCTGTCCCCGCTGTCCCCTGCTGTCCCTGCTGCCCCTGCTGTCCCTGCTGCCCCCGCTGTCCCCTCCGGCCACACGGGCCGGGGGGACTCTGCAGCTGCCCACGGGGACGCAGCCGGCCCTGCCCAGATCCTGCTGCCCACCTGGGCAAACCCTGCTGCTGCTGCTGCTGCTGCTGGAGCAGCCCCCGCGCAGGCACCGGCACAGCCGCAGGCCCGGGAGCGCGGCCCCCTGCCCGGGGCGTTACCTGCGCAGGGAAACTCTCCCCGGTCTCTCCATCAACTAGCGGGATTCTATCCAAGACCTCATTCCCTGCACTCCTCCAGCTGTCCCCGCGCTCCCTCCCATCGCTCAGCTCTTTGTCCACTTCGCTCTCTTTCTGACGGTGGCTGTAGTCAAAAATCTCTCGCCCGGCGCCGAGATCAATATCCTGTCTCCACAGGATGTCAATCAAATCGATGTCCTGCAAGACAGACCACATTTCCTTCAGCCCCCTGGCCTGGGGGGGGGTCCCCACCCGGCGGCCCCTCCCCGGGGCCCCCCCCCCCGCCCGGCCCGCAGCTCACCCGCCGCGGGGGCCGCCCGGGCCCGCGTCGCGGCGGTGGCTGCGCCGTGCCCGCCTTGCATCAGCCCGTGGTGCCATCCCGGCCATTTGCATAAGGGGTGGGGTGGCAGGAAAATCCCCGCATTCCCACCCACCTGATGCAACTTGAGCCGCCGCCGCTCCGCCGGGCCCCTGCCCGCTCCCCGCCGGCACCCCCCGCAGCCCCCCGCTCCTCGGGGCGGCCCCGGTACCTTTCTCATGTCCCCAGCTGCCGCCCGGGCCGCGGCGCACGCCGATCATGGTCCCCGGGGGAGGAAGAGGAGGAGGAGGAGGCGGCGGGGCGGGCTGGCCGGGGCGCGGCGCCGCGCACGCATCGCCGGCCAGCGGGGCCGCCCCCCCCCCCCGGCCCCGCCCGCACCGCACCGGGAATGGGGAATGGGGGCGGGGAACACCGGGACCCCCGGGCCGCCAGCCCGCACAGCCCGGGGTCACCTTGGCCCCGTCCCCCGGGACACCCCGGCCCGGAGTGCGCGACCCCCGCTGAGCGCCCTGCCCTCCTCCCGCCGGTGCTGCTCGCCCCGGGCACGCCCCGGGCCCGGTAACCGCGGCCAAGTGTAAGGAGATCCCCGGGCCGGGGGGGCCGGCGCTGAGCCCCCGCAGCTCATCACATGCCCCGCGTATTTTTATCCTCGTGTTGTGGAAACGGCCCCGGGCACGGAGCCCCCGCCGCCCTCCCCACCCCCAATGCTGCGGAGGGAAGCGCTGGGATTTAATCCCAGCTTTGTCTTTAGCCCCGGCTCGAAACGGGCATTTTTTTATCCGTGGGATAAAAATCAAGTGCATTTCATAATTCCCCTCCCGCCCCGCCCGCTCTCCGGGTGCTGCAACGCCCAAAAAGGAAAGGAGGAAAAAAAAAAAAAATCCCGCACAGCATTCCCGGAGCGAGTTCCAGCTTCCCAAAATTCTTTCTATCGCCCGTATTCCCCCGGCAAGGTCGCGCCTGGACCGCGCACAACCCACCGGGAGTCGCAACGTGCCAGGAAAAGTCATGGAAAAATTTTCAGGCCGGCCCCCGGAGCCATCGGCAGCTCCGGCCCCGCCCGAACGGCGGGGAGAGCCCGCGGGGCTCCCGCGGCATTCCCGGGGGGAAATCCGCGTCCTCCGGGGAGTCGGGGCGGAAAATCGCCCCCTAAAACAGCCCCGAAAGGGAAATGCGGGAGCGGCGAGCTGCGGGGGGAGGAGAGCGGCGGGATGGGGTGAGGGAGCGCCGCGGGAGCCAGGCGGGATTTCCTGGAGCCGTGGAAAAAAAACAGCCCTGGAGGGAGAGGGATGCAGGAAAATCCGGGATCGGGCATGGAGAACAGCCCTGGAGGGAGAGGGATGCAGGAAAACTGGGATCGGGGCATGGAGAACAGCCCTGGAGGGAGAGGGATGGAGAACAGCCCTGAAGGGAGGGGGGACACATGGAGAACAGCCCTGGAGGGAGAGGGCTGGAGGAAAATCCGGGATCGGGATGGGGACACATGGAAAACAGAGCCCTGAGAGCGACAGGGATGGAGCAAAAGCCGGGATCGGGGCATGGAGAACAGCCCTGGGGGGAGAGGGATGCAGGAAAATCCGGGATGGGGGCATGGAGAACAGCCCTGGGGGGAGAGGGATGCAGGAAAATCCGGGATGGGGGCATGGAGAACAGCCCTGGGGGGAGAGGGATGCAGGAAAATCCGGGATGGGGGCATGGAGAACAGCCCTGGGGGGAGAGGGATGCAGGAAAATCCGGGATGGGGGCATGGAGAACAGCCCTGGGGGGAGAGGGATGCAGGAAAATCCGGGATGGGGGCATGGAGAACAGCCCTGGGGGGAGAGGGATGCAGGAAAATCCGGGATGGGGGCATGGAGAACAGCCCTGGGGGGAGAGGGATGCAGGAAAATCCGGGATGGGGGCATGGAGAACAGCCCTGGGGGGAGAGGGATGCAGGAAAATCCGGGATGGGGGCATGGAGAACAGCCCTGGAGGGAGAGGGATGCAGAACAGCCCTGAAGGGAGAGGGATGGAGGAAAATCCGGGATCGGGATGGGGACACATGGAAAACAGAGCCCTGAGAGCGACAGGGATGGAGGAAAAGCCGGGATCGGGGGAATGAAGGAGAACAGCCCCGAGAAGGGCCGGGACCGGCAAGGTGGGGCCGCCCCTCCCTGATTCCAGCCGGGGGGGAGGCCTCTGGAAAACGGCGGCTCCTCCCGGCCTCTTCCCCAGAATTCCCAAATCTGAGCCCGGTTTCCCTGCCCGGGGAGGCCTCTGGAAAACGGCGGCTCCCGGCCTCTTTTCCCCCAGAATTCCCAAATCTGAGCGCGGTTTCCCTGCCCGGGGAGGCCTCTGGAAAACGGCGGCTCCTCCCGGCCTCTTCCCCAGAATTCCCAAATCTGAGCCCGGTTTCCCTGCCGAAAGCTCCCCAGAGCCAGCAATCCCAGACGCGGGAAGGGCGGCGGAGCCTTGCAGGAGTGACCTTGCACAAGGAAGCGCCCACCCGATCCCATCCCGATCCCGGGAATCCGGGAATCGCCTCCCTGGGAATCCCCAGGAGCAGAGATGCGGGACCTTCGGCCTCCGTCCCTCTGGCTCCTCCAAGGTCGAGCTGCCAGCCCAGAGCGGGGCTTTCCCCCGGGAACAGGCAGGGAAACCGGGATGACATTCCCAGGGCCTGCTCCATCAGCTCCAGCTCTGTCTCTGCGGCGCTCCCCGCAGCCTGACCCCGATCCTGATCCCAATCCTGATCCTGATCCCGATCCTGACCCCAATCCTGATCCCGACCCCGATCCTGACCCCAGTCCCGATCCCGACCCCAATCCCTGCTGCAGCACATGCCAGCGGCTCCCGGTGTCCTGCAGGACCTGGGCACATGGATCAGCACTGACACCCCCATTCCATAGACCTGGAAGGACCTGAGGCCATGGAACCACCACTGACACCCCATTCCATACACCTGGAAGGACCTGAGGCTGGGAATTACCACTGACACCCCCATTCCATACACCTGGAAGGACCTGAGGCGGGAATCGCCTCCCTGGGAATCCCCAGGAGCAGAGATGCGGGACCTTCGGCCTCCGTCCCTCTGGCTCCTCCAAGGTCGAGCTGCCAGCCCAGAGCGGGGCTTTCCCCCGGGAACAGGCAGGGAAACCGGGATGACATTCCCAGGGCCTGCTCCATCAGCTCCAGCTCTGTCTCTGCGGCGCTCCCGGCAGCCTGACCCCGAGCCTGATCCCAATCCTGATCCTGATCCTGATCCCAATCCTGATCCTGATGCTGATCCCAATCCAATCCTAACCCTGATCCCGACCCCGATCCTGATCCCAGTCCTGATCCCAATCCTGATCCTGATCCCAATCCTGATCAACCCCAACCCTGATCCCAACCACGATCCTGACCCCAATCCTGATCCCGACCCCGATCCCAACCCCAATCCCTGATGCAGCACATGCCAGCGGCTCCCGGTGTCCTGCAGGACCTGGGCACATGGATCAGCACTGACACCCCCATTCCATACACCTGGAAGGACCCGAGGCCATGGATCAGCACTGGCACCCCCATTCCATACACCTGGAAGGACCTGAGGCCATGGAACCACCACTGACACCCCCATTCCATAGACCTGGAAGGACCTGAGGCCATGGATCAGCACTGACAGCCTCTCTCCAAGGCCCTGGAAGGACCTGAGACCATGGAACCACCACTGACACCCCCGTTCCATACACCTGGAAGGACCTGAGGCCGGGAATTACCACTGACACCCCCATTCCATAGACCTGGAAGGACCTGAGGCCATGGATCAGCACTGACAGCCTCTCTCCAAGGGCCTGGAAGGACCTGAGACCATGGAACCACCACTGACCCCCCCGTTCCATACACCTGGAAGGACCTGAGGCCATGGATCAGCACTGACAGCCTCTCTCCAAGGGCCTGGAAGGACCTGAGACCATGGAACCACCACTGACCCCCCCGTTCCATACACCTGGAAGGACCTGAGGCCATGGAACCACCACTGACACCCCCATTCCATAGACCTGGAAGGACCTGAGGCCATGGATCAGCACTGACAGCCTCTCTCCAAGGCCCTGGAAGGACCTGAGACCATGGAACCACCACTGACACCCCCATTCCATAGACCTGGAAGGACCTGAGGCCATGGAACCACCACTGACACCCCATTCCATACACCTGGAAGGACCTGAGGCTGGGAATTACCACTGACACCCCCATTCCATACACCTGGAAGGACCCGAGGCCATGGATCAGCACTGACACCCCCATTCCATAGACCTGGAAGGACCTGAGGCCATGGATCAGCACTGACAGCCTCTCTCCAAGGCCCTGGAAGGACCTGAGACCATGGAACCACCACTGACACCCCCAATCCCTGACCCTGGAAGGACCCGAGGCCATGGATCAGCCCCACGGAACCCGGGATGTGCCACAGGCACAGCAGCAGCTCCCAGGGCCTGGAATGGCATCCCAGCCTCCCCAAAGGTCCTGGCTCAAGCAGGAAAACCAAACCCCTCCCAGGCCAGCTCTGCCCAGCCGGCTGGGGAGGAAAAGTGAGCCAGGAAAGGAATTCTGGGGAGGAAAACTGAGCCAGGAAGGGAAGGCTGGGGAGGAAAACTGAGCCAGGAAAGGAATTCTGGGCAGGAAAAGTGAGTGAGGAAGGGAATTCTGGGGAGGAAAACTGAGTGAGGAAGGGAATTGTGGGCAGGAAAACTGAGTGAGGAACTGAATTCTGGGGAGGAAAACTGAGTGAGGAAGGGAATTGTGGGGAGGAAAACTGAGTGAGGAAGGGAATTGTGGGGAGGAAAATTGAGTGAGGAAGGGAATTCTGGGGAGGAAAACTGAATGAGGAAAGGAATTGTGGGGAGGAAAACTGAGCCAGGAAGGGAATTCTGGGCAGGAAAACTGAGCCAGGATAGGAATTCTGGGGAGGAAAACTGAGTGAGGAAAGGAATTCTCGGGAAGAAAACTGGGTAAGGAACTGAATTCTGGGGAGGAAAACTGAGTGAGGAAAGGAATTGTGGGCAGGAAAACTGAGTGAGGAAGGGAATTCTGGGGAGGAAAACTGAGTGAGGAAGGGAATTCTGGGGAGGAAAACTCGAGGGAGGAGCAGGCTCCTGGGGAGGGACACCGAGGGAGGAGCAGGCTCCTGGGGAGGGACACCGAGGGAGCAGCAGGCTCCTGGCCGGGCTCCAGCCCAGCAGCCCAACCACCTGCTCCACACCTGGGCCAGGGCTCTTTCCCAACTCCCCTGTTTATCTCCCAGCCGCATTGCTGGCTTTCCCAATGCCCAGAGTCACGAGGGCCCCAGCTCCTTCCCCCTCCTTTCACTGCTCCCCTGGAGCCACAAGAGAGGAGACCCAAAAGGGAAAAACCGGCCCGGAATCGCCCCGGCAGCGCCGAAACCCAGCCCGGCTCCGGGATCGCGCCGGGATCGCTCCGGGATTGCTCCGGGATTGCGCCAAACGCGGCAACGCCCCAGCCCCTCTCTCAAAACACCCCAAACCCTGTCTCAAAACACCCCAAACCCCTCTCTCAAAACACCCCAACCCCCTCTCTCAAAACACCCCAACCCCCTCTCTCAAAACACCCCAACCCCCTCTCTCAAAACACCCCAACCCCCTCTCTCAAAACACCCCAACCCCCTCTCTCAAAACACCCCAACCCCCTCTCTCAAAACACCCCAACCCCCTCTCTCAAAACACCCCAACCCCCTCTCTCAAAACACCCCAACCCCCTCTCTCAAAACACCCCAACCCCCTCTCTCAAAACACCCCAACCCCCTCTCTCAAAACACCCCAACCCCCTCTCTCAAAACACCCCAACCCCCTCTCTCAAAACACCCCAACCCCCTCTCTCAAAACACCCCAACCCCCTCTCTCAAAACACCCCAACCCCCTCTCTCAAAACACCCCAACCCCCTCTCTCAAAACACCCCAACCCCCTCTCTCAAAACACCCCAACCCCCTCTCTCAAAACACCCCAACCCCCTCTCTCAAAACACCCCAACCCCCTCTCTCAAAACACCCCAACCCCCTCTCTCAAAACACCCCAACCCCCTCTCTCAAAACACCCCAACCCCCTCTCTCAAAACACCCCAACCCCCTCTCTCAAAACACCCCAACCCCCTCTCTCAAAACACCCCAACCCCCTCTCTCAAAACACCCCAACCCCCTCTCTCAAAACACCCCAACCCCCTCTCTCAAAACACCCCAACCCCCTCTCTCAAAACACCCCAACCCCCTCTCTCAAAACACCCCAACCCCCTCTCTCAAAACACCCCAACCCCCTCTCTCAAAACACCCCAACCCCCTCTCTCAAAACACCCCAACCCCCTCTCTCAAAACACCCCAACCCCCTCTCTCAAAACACCCCAACCCCCTCTCTCAAAACACCCCAACCCCCTCTCTCAAAACACCCCAACCCCCTCTCTCAAAACACCCCAACCCCCTCTCTCAAAACACCCCAACCCCCTCTCTCAAAACACCCCAACCCCCTCTCTCAAAACACCCCAACCCCCTCTCTCAAAACACCCCAACCCCCTCTCTCAAAACACCCCAACCCCCTCTCTCAAAACACCCCAACCCCCTCTCTCAAAACACCCCAACCCCCTCTCTCAAAACACCCCAACCCCCTCTCTCAAAACACCCCAACCCCCTCTCTCAAAACACCCCAACCCCCTCTCTCAAAACACCCCAACCCCCTCTCTCAAAACACCCCAACCCCCTCTCTCAAAACACCCCAACCCCCTCTCTCAAAACACCCCAACCCCCTCTCTCAAAACACCCCAACCCCCTCTCTCAAAACACCCCAACCCCCTCTCTCAAAACACCCCAACCCCCTCTCTCAAAACACCCCAACCCCCTCTCTCAAAACACCCCAACCCCCTCTCTCAAAACACCCCAACCCCCTCTCTCAAAACACCCCAACCCCCTCTCTCAAAACACCCCAACCCCCTCTCTCAAAACACCCCAACCCCCTCTCTCAAAACACCCCAACCCCCTCTCTCAAAACACCCCAAACCCCTCTCCCAAAACACCCCAACCCCCTCTCCCAAAACACCCCACACGTTTCCTACCTCCTTGCTGAGCTCCGCGCTGCCAGGCGCCGCCACGGCTCCCAGATTCTCCGGCTCGTCCCCAAAGCCCTGCTCGGCTCCGCTCTCCCTCTCGCCGCCGGCGCCGTCCTGCAGGCCCCCGGCGGCGGCGCCGGGCTGCGCGCCCTCGGCGTCCCGGTGCACCAGCCAGGCGCTGAGCTCGGTGCTGGGCACCCGCAGGCGGTCCAGGGCGCGCACCCGGCCGAGCAGGCGGCTGCCCAAGTAGGAGTCGAGCTCGGCGCTCTTGGGGTGGATGCCATGGCCGCCCCAGGCGCCGCGCAGGCGGTGGAACTGGGTCTGCGTGTAGGCCGAGCTCGGGCCCAGGATGATCTCCCGCAGCGGCGGCAGCTGCGAGCTCAGGTAGCTGTCCACGTCCACGCGCACGCCCAGCAGGCTCAGCAGGATGGTGAACTGGATCAGGCCTTCCGTGAAGTACTTCTTCAGGGAGAGCATCTCTGCGGCACGGAGAGGGTGGGCAAGTGAAGGAGGGCGAAGAAGGGGCGAGGGTGGGGGCGGGCACAGAGGAGCTGCAGGGGGAAAATTAAAAAAAGTGAAGAAAAATAAGGATTGAGGGTGGGCATGGGCAGCAAGGAGCTGGCAGAGGGAAAATTTAAAAAAGTGAAGAAAAATAAGGATTGAAGGTGGGCATGGACAGCAAGGAGCTGCAGGGGGGTAATTACAAAACAAATGAAGATAAACAAGGATTGAGGGTAGGGATGGACAGCGAGGAGCTCAAGGGGTAAAAATTTAAAAAAATAAAAGAAGGAAAATAAGGATTGAGGGTGGGCATGGACAGCAAGGAGCTGCAGGGGGGGAATTACAAAAAAGAAGGAAAATAAGGATTGAGGGTGGAGGTGGACAGAGAGGAGCTGGCAGGGGGAAAATTTAAAAAAAATAGAAGAAAAGCAAGGATTGAGGATGGGCATGGACAGCAAGGAGCTGCAGGGGGGAAAATTACAAAAAAAGAGAAGAGAAGCAAGGATTGAGATTGAAGATGGACAGCAAGGAGCTGGTGGGGGGAAAATTTAAAAAAAGAAGGAAAATAAGGATTGAGGGTGGGGATGGACAGAGAGGAGCTGCAGGGGGGAAAATTACAAAAAAAGAGAAGAAAAGCAAGGATTGAGGGTGGGGGTGGGCAGAGAGGAGCTGCAGGGGGGAAAATTACAAAAAAAGAGAAGAAATGCAAGGATTGAGGGTGGGGATGGACAGCCAGGAGCTCAAGGGGTAAAAAATTTAAAAAAATAAAAGAAGGAAAATAAGGATTGAGGGTGGGGGTGGACAGAGAGGAGCTGCAGGGGGGAATTAAAAAACAAATGAACATAAACAAGGATTGAGGGTGGGCATGGACAGCGAGGAGCCGCAGGGGGGGAAATTACAAAAAAAGTGAAGAAAAATAAGGATTGAGGGTGGAGGTGGACAGAGAGGAGCTGGCAGGGGGAAAATTTAAAAAAGATAGAAGAAAAGCAAGGATTGAGGATGGGCATGGACAGCAAGGAGCTCAAGGGGGAAAAATTTAAAAAAATAAAAGAAGGAAAATAAGGATTGAGGGTGGGGATGGACAGCGAGGAGCTGCAGGGGGGAAAATTACAAAAAAAGAGAAGAGAAGCAAGGATTGAGATTGAAGATGGACAGCAAGGAGCTGGTGGGGGGAAAATTTAAAAAAAGAAGGAAAATAAGGATTGAGGGTGGGGATGGACAGAGAGGAGCTGCAGGGGGGAAAATTACAAAAAAAGAGAAGAAATGCAAGGATTGAGGGTGGGCATGGACAGCGAGGAGCTGGCAGAGGGAAAATTTAACAAAAGAAGGAAAATAAGGATTGAGGATGGGGATGGACAAGAAGCTGGCAGAGAGAAAATTAAAAAAAGTGAAACTAAGAAAAGCAAGGATTGAGGTTGAAGATGGACAGCGAGGAGCCGCAGGGGGGGAAATTACAAAAAAAGTGAAGAAAAATAAGGATTGAGGGTGGAGGTGGACAGAGAGGAGCTGGCAGGGGGAAAATTTAAAAAAGTGAAGAAAAATAAGGATTGAGGGTGGGGATGGACAGCAATGAGCTAGAGGGGCGAAAAATTTAAAAACAAATTAACAAAAGCAAGGATTGAGGTTGAAGATGGACAGCAAGGAGCTGGCAGGGGGGAAAATTAAAAAAGAAATGTTGATAAACAAGGGTTGAGGCTGGGCATGCACAGCCAGGAGCTGGCAGAGGGTGAAGCCTCCACACAACAGGTTCAGTGGCTTTGGCTCTGCTCTGCCCCACTTTCAATCAATCGTTTCTGCCCTTGGGGACAGAGCTAAAGCCAGGAGGAAAGTTTAAAGAGCAGCGTTGTTAGTTCAGCGAGGCTTGGTTTTCCTCTGAAAACTCAGGAAATCAAAGTTTCAGCCCCGAACTCTCCCAGCAGCTCCACCCTCGCCTTCCCTTTTGTTTTTATCCCGCAGAGCAGGCGGAATTCCGGGCTCCGTGTGACTTACTGTCCCAGCTCTGCTCATGCAGCGAGTCTGTGTCCCCCGCAGCTCCTCCCGCTCCTCTCCCGCTCCTCTCCGGTTCCTCTCCGGTTCCTCTCCGGTTCCTCTCCCGCTCCCGACGCTTTTTCCAGGAGCCCTTTATGAGTCAAAGGTCCCGAGCATGGGAAGGTCCAAAGACTCCAAGGCTGGCGGCTGCGATTTCATCAGCAGCTGAAACGTAACCAGAGAGCAACCACGGTCACAGCGGGGCACCACCCCGCCCGCACGGCGCCCTCCCCCCGCCACCACCGGCCGCTCTCCCCGCGATTCCCGGTGTTCCCTCCGGGTTACCTTCGGGCGGCGGCACGGCCCGAGCTGTCCTTAGGCCGGTGCGTCAACCTGCCGCTGCCCCAAGGAACCCGGCCGCCCGTCCCTGCCCAGCCCGGGCTGCCAGCCGGCCCGGGGCTCTTGCACGGACACCGGGAGCGCTCCCGGACCCGCCCCGCTCCGGGCCCGCCGCCCCCAGCGCGCCGGGGCGGCTCCCGCGGAGCGGAGCGCTGAGCTGCGCGTGCCCCAGGAGGCTTGGGGGTCCCTGATTGTGGGGGGTATCCCCGATTTTGGGGGGGTATCCCCGATTTTGGGGGGGTCCCACGTGCGCTCCCCGCAGCCGG